CCCCCCCCCCCCCCCCCTTTCCCAAACCTCCATCCCCCAAGATCCTAGCCCGTATGCGTGGAATTGACGCTCGGCATGACTCATCCCACAGCCCGGCTCTGTCAGCCCCCACCGCACAGCAGCCCCCTGCGGAGCCCCCCCCACCGCCCGCACCGCGCCGCCCCCTCCCCACCTTTGGGGCAGCCCTAACAACCGGGGGGGGTGGGGGGGATGGTTCTGTACCGAAACCCATCGACCCATCAACTTATCCCCTCTCCCCCCCAGATCCCCGGCCGCTGGGGGAACGGGGGGGCGCGGGAGTCCACGTGCGAGTGGTGCTGAAAGCGCCGCGGGGCTGCGGGGCTGCGGCCGCCCGGGAGCCCCGGGAGGGGCGCGCACGGCCCCGCGGCTCCGCAGGGAACCGGAGCGCCGCAGATCCCCGGGGCACCCTGCGGACGAGCCCCGCGGCCCCGCTCCGGCAGCACCGGCTCTTCCCCGGGGTGCCCCGGCAAGCAGCGGGGGGGTCTGGCCGTTCCCCCCCCTCCAGCCGCAGCAGGGACCCGCTCAGCAGAACCCCCCAGCAGCCCTCCCTACCTGGCTGTCAGCTAGGTAGCTGAAGACGAAGGAGGAGAGATCCTCGTCGAGCAGAGAGCTGCAATCCGGCCCCGGCTCCGCCATCTTCCACCTCCGGCTGGGGCTGAGCACCGAGCATGCAGCAGGCGCGGCGGCGGGAGCCGGGCGGCCGTCGGGGCGGGGAGCGCGGAGCGCCGGGGCGGAGCCGCCCGCAGCCCCCGCCTGCAGCCCCCGCCCCGCGGCTGCGGGAGCCGGCCTCGGCGGGGATCGCTGCCAGGGAGCCCCCCGGGGGTTTTGCAGACACTCGCGGGACACCGCTTTGTGCGTCCCTTGGAGGTGCCACCGCGTCAAAGCGGCCCCCGAGTCACTCCGAGTTCAGGTGTGGAAGCGCTGCGTGCAGCGTCTCAGACCGGGGGACACGTCCAGGCTCTCTCTGGGGGTTTTGAAGTGCCCCCCGCAGTTCCTGAAGGAGCGCCGTCCCCAGGGACGCACACATACAGGGGAACCCCCTTTGAGCAATGCCGCTGCGCACGCCTTAAAATTGCCAGCGTTTAAAAGGGAGAGCACCCAACAGCACCAGGCACCTCTCAGCAGTCCCCAGATCACCCCGTGTGGAGATACATAAACCCTGAGAGCTGTGGTTGGGCCAGGGGCCACTTCCAGGCTCGGTGGGTCTGCACTGAAGTGGGACCACTGGACTGCAGTAAAAAGGAGCAAAAGATCTTCTGATTTTCCTTGTTTTCATTTCAGCTGCCGCTGTGAGCATCTTGATGTCACGCACGTTATCTTTCTGTCTGGGGTTTTGAGGCGTATCCTAAAAGCCCTTTCAGAAATTATTAATGATGGGACCAAAAATCTCATGAATGTTCTATTTACTTACCCGTAGCAATTACATGGGAAAGAGCAGGGCTTGGCACTGCAGCCTGAATTAGCTGATACACAACCAACCAAAGTGGCCAACACCTGCAGCCTAATGGCTCCAGATCTCTGCATCCCCTCAGACCGCCTAGACAGACCTGCAGGGTCACTGTAAAGAGCTGATGGAACAAAGTGATGTGGAGCTATCAGGGTGGGCAGCTCTGTGCCAGGCTCTGACGTGTGAACAGAGAGTGCTTCTTCCTCTGGCAGGAAAGGCCCACTGCCCATCTGTGCTCTCTTTGCTGTTGTTTCAAAGGCAGAGCTGTTTCCAGCCACTCTTTTAATTCCCTCTGGCTTCTCTTTGGTTCAGGACATGTTGTGAACACCATGCAATGTAGCAACACTGGGTTTTCCCTCATGATCCCCAGCCTTGCACTAAAGGGAGATGTCAGGGACGGCGCCTGTTGTGTCACACTGATGAGAGCTGGAGGCCAGGGCGGCCTTGGGATGGGCAAAGCAACTCTTCCTCATTGCTGTGCGCTCCAGTACTTATTACTGTTGTCAAGTGCCAAAACATTTACCCAAGGTGCTTTTCCGGCTGCCCTGCCAGCAGTGAAACTTCTCTTCCCATGGGTGGGAGGCCTGGGCCTGGGAATGCCCTGCCAGGATTCCCAGCTGTAGCTCACAGCTGGCACAGCACAGTCAGCAGGGCCAAGGAAGGAAATTGCCTTGCTCTGGGGCATGTGCAATTCCTTGAAGACTCAAAGTCCCAGCTGAGCGGTGATCTGGTGCACATTCCTTTCATTGCAGAAGATGCAAGTGGTGAAGGCTATGCCGTGATGTAGATGAGCTGGGAACAGAAGGGATGTTTGCCCCATCTGGGCAAAAAACAGGGCTGGAAGGCCTCACCACTAAAAAAGTAGTCCTTTGGGAGGAATTTGTTGCACAAAAGGCGAGGTTTGCACTTGAGCGTCTCGTGATTTCCTTTGCACCAGCTGCACTCAAGTAGGAAGTAACATTCGTGGGAATTACTTGAGAATCGTCATTGGAAAATCAAGTTGTGCATAGCTGGGCTTTTCAGAAATACCTTTTCTCTTCTGATCCATGTGCAAGCACATTTCCTCCTCCCTTTCCTCCTCACGCTCCCCGAGGAGATGAGCCCTTCCCAGCCTCCAGTGGTCACAGCCTGCAGCCACCCCCAGGCGTGGAGGAGCATGAGGAAAGCAAAGCCCAGGCTGCACTGCCCCTTTTCTCCTCTGAACAGACAGGTTAGGGCATCTTCCAACCCTGCAGGCAAAACTGGATGTGACATTGGGGTCAGGCTGCCCTTGTGCCGGGAGGGGAACAGAGGACAGCAGGGCACAATGGGGGCATCTTGGCCAAGTGGATTTTCTGCTGCTTCTGGGTTTCAGTGGGATCCTGCAGGATGAAGTACAGTTGCTCACGTGGCTGCAAGTTGATGTTAACCTGCCCAGCTTCAGCTCCTGACTGCTCTGGACTTTTGCACAGTCCAAGCATTTTTCTGTGCCTTTTGGTTCTTTTCACCTGTGAAATGGAGATCACACCACTTCCCTGTGCCCCGCGGTTTCTGGAGGAATTGGTTGAATAACACTCATAAAAAGGGCTTCGGAAGCACCAGAAGAGAGGCGAAGGAGGACAAGATGTTATAAGTGGTGTTGTCTCCACCTTCTTAGAAGCCTGTCATGTGGCAGCCTCAGAAACACCTGAGGTGGGTAGAGGTGATGTCTGGAATGCCGTGGTGTGAGTGGGACATCTCACTGCCCGTGTCACACACCCTGCCCTGAGCACAGCTCTGCCGTGTGCTCACAGCTTTTCTCCTCAACCAGGCCCTGAGCTCAGAGCAGGGCAGAGCTCCAGCTTCTGCTGCTCTCTGTATTTATGGACTCAAAGAGGTGCCAGCTGCTCCCGAGCAGAGTTAAGCCCCCTGTGCCCACCCCAGCCTGGCAGCCCTGGCTGAGCCGCACCGCTCTGTGGCTCACAGAGCAGCTCGACGCTCAGCCCGGAGGGGCTGGGGATAGCATTACCGAGGTAAAATATAACAGGAAAAGCTTGCAAATGTCCTTTCAAAACAACAGCGAGTGAGTAATGTCATTGGGCCAGCGGTCAGGAGGGGACAGGGTTTGAAGGTACCCTGAGCCTGCCAAAGGCCAGGCGTGGGACAGGGGCAGGAGCCAATGAGCTCCGGCTGGGCAGGAGCCACCCCGGCCCGGCGACCGCCCGCCCTCGCTCTCACGTTGCAGCTGCCTCTGTTTGTGGATGGCAAAATGTTGTAAGGACCGGGCAGTGAGAGGCAGCGGCAAATGGGGCTCCTCCGAGTTACAACATCCGCGGCCGGCGGCGGGTCCCCGCAGCCCCCGCCTGCCGACACTCTCTGCTCGGCACCAAGCGGGGCATTGGCGCTGTGGCCGCTCCCGCTGGGCACCGGGGAAAGGCTGTGAGCGCTGGCAGGAGCTCTGTGAGCCGCTGGCTGGGAGAGCTGGGGGCAGCTGAAGGGGAAGGTGTCCCCAGGCTGCCCCAGAGCCCTCCCCTGGAGCTCTCTCCATTCATGCAGGCTGCTCGCTGGGGCCCCGCTCCCCGCAGGGCACAGCGGTTGGCAGTGCCATGCCCTGGGTTTCGCTGAGTTTCTCTGCCTGGCTCCTTTCCACGAGCTCTGCTTTCCCTTCCCCGCAGCCCTTCTCAGCTCAGCCTTATCCTTCACCTGGAGTCACGAGCACAGGGACAGAGTGTTGCTTTCCCTGCACGCTTGCTGTGCCTCATTAGCTGTGTGCACCTGGGAGCTGCTGTCTCCTCCTCCTCACTTGCTGACAGGGGGGCTCTGCTATGCTTCAGCAAGGAGTGAAAGTCTCATGTCCTCTGGGGCTGACTGGCCCCTGGGGCTGGAGGGGACCTAGGAAACAAAAGTGCATTCTGAGGGCAAGTGGGTGCTGCGTGGGCTCCTGGCTCTGAGATGCAGCTTGTCCAGGGAGCAGGGATGAGCCTCTGGTAGCTCAGAGGTTGCCATTTCTGCTCCAGATCCCCTCGGCATCACTGCAGGGTGATGTCCCACTGTGCCACTGTGCCACAAAGCCTTCGTGCATGTGGCCACCATGGACACTCTGCCTGTGCTGTGGCAGAGCCCCCAGGGCCCTCTCTGGAGTGCACCTGGCAGAGGGTCCCTCCCCACTGTGCCACCTGCCAGGCTCTCTGCAGCTCCGTCAGAGCAGCCTGTGGCCAGCACTGAGGCTTGGAGGGATGCACCCATGCAGGGGGATGTTGTACAGGGCTCCAGCCTGCCCCATCCTTCAGCCTGCTCTTCTCCCAAACTGCAGCCTGGAGCGTGCTGTGGAGGCAAATCCACACGGTTCTTGCAGAGAAAACCTCTGAGGAGACAAATGTGATGGCAAAGGAGCAAGAAGGGGGTTTTGTGGATGCATTGTTGAAACAGATGGGAATTTCCTGGAGCAAGAGGCAGAGCCCAGGCAGCGGAGGGTAGGGAAGGCTCCTGCACGATGGCTCACGCTGCCCACCAGCTGTGTGGGCTGAGCAGGGGACCAGGATGCCCATTGACTCCTTATGGCACTTTCAGTGACTCATTTGTCCATGGAAGCAGCACACCCACAGCAGCTGAAGCAGCCTGTCCTCCTCCCAGGCTGCTCTGGCACAGCAGGGCCAGCCGGCCCCTTCTGCCTGGGGATGAGAGGCTGGCAGCAGCCCAGGGCACTCGGCTCATCCTGTAGCTCACTTCATCTGGGGGAAGGAACGCGCTGTCAGAGACCTTGTGCTGCTCTTTCTGCAATGCCTGACATCCCAGCCTGCAGCCTGAGCCTGGCCCTTGCTGTTCCAGGGTCAGTGTCCCCCGGAGCAGCCTGGCACAGGGCACCAGCCAGCCGTGGGACCTGCGGGAGCTGCACCATCCACTTCGTGTCCCTCATGTCCCTCTCACTCTGCCTGAGCTCGGCTTTCCCACAGCTCTGGCAGCTCTCACACTGTGCTGGCAGTGTCTGTCACAGCCCATCCATGTCACCCCACTGGCCTCTCCCTGTCCCCCCTGCCTCACCCCTGCCTGTGCAGCTGCCTGCGGTCCTGGTGGTGCTGCCTGGGCTCCCTTCACTGCCCTTCCCTTCTGGCAGGACAGCACCAGGAGCTGGGATATCTCCTGTGTCCCTACCATCCTGCTGCCAGCTGCTCCCAGGAGGAGTGAGGGGCATTGGGATGGCTGGCTGAGACCCAGGCTGGCCTCATCCTCCTTTGCTCATGGCTCTGAGCAGGGCAACTCCTCCTGCCTCTCC